TTTTTTTTTGAGCTCACGTACATGAACTCGATTGGCTTTATTGTGATATTGATGCTGTTCTTCGCGGCGTTGGCCTCACAGTGCCTAGCTTTATTGTCAGGTTTGAAGCGATGCACCTCTTTTGCTGCTCTGGTTTTTGTTAGACGTGTACCGGTAACCTGACTCGAGACGCAGTTATCAGATTACGCATGTGTACGATGTGTGTACGGACCCTCAAAGCCAGTCCCAGAAAGCCATTCCCGTATTGTCTATTCGATTCGGCGTGTTCCTTCTTCCTCAAGTGCCTTGATCAGCGAGAGTAACATCTCATTGGTTGGAGTGGGAATTCCTTGCCGTTTGCCACCTGCAACAATCCGCCCGGTGATAGCGTCGATCTCAGTTCTGTTTGGCAAAATTGTCAACAAACAAGAGTATGAGTTCACTGTGCGCTAACCACATAACCACAGATAGCGTACTTTGAGCCGCGACGCAGATCTGCCAGCATGGAGCACACATTTGTGCCCGTATTTCGAGCCACTTCAAGGATATCATCCACAAGTTCCTGCACACGGACAAAAACTTGTCAGAAAAGCTAGTAGAAGCATCCTCGACGGCATAGCTGGTACCTTTTGTGAGCAGCTCAACGGAATCTGCTCGCTTTTAGCGACGGCGAGGGCCTCCTGCACCACCATATTCACGCAATGCCGACTACCTTCGCTGGAAGCTACACTCTAAACCATTGACGACGTCAGTGGGGTGAGGACGGGATAGAGCGAAAGTCAAACACTTACCTTGTTTGGTGCATTCAACAGACATGCCAGGGGGTTGATCGCCGCATTTACAATCAATTTACGCCAGAGCATTGCTTGCATCTTGCTGGGTTCCAATATCTCGCAACGTAGACCTTCATGTAGAACAACAATTAACTCTTTTCAACGAACAAAGCGCTTTACGTTGAGTTTAGGGTGCGTACCTGCAGCAAGAAAAATCTCCGTTAGCATCTCAATCTTGGTACTTCGTTGCTTTTCCTCTTCTGATCCACCAAACGGAGCGAGGTACGTCATCCCCACGTCCAGTCCGCTCGTCACCACACTCCCAAACTCCACCACTCGTCCACCAACAAATGTCACTCCATTGGCAAACTCCCATCGATCCTCCACTCTATCTAACGCATTTTCCCCGTCTCTCGGTACTTCACCAAGTCCGTTCTGGAGCAGCACACACAGTGCGCCGTCTTTCATCAAGTGCTTGCTCTTCTCCCTAAGTTCATGAATCACCTTAACGTTGTCGTACGCCTTCACTGCCACTAACAATACGTCCAATTTGCCATCGCAATCGTCCGCTACTACGCTGTCCAATGTGCGTACTCGAACATTCGGGGCATCCAGCACCGTCGCCACCTTCTCGTTCAAATCATCCAATCGAAACGCCAATGTCTCCTCATTAGAGACTTGAAGACACAACTGAAGCTTCTCATTTCTCGTCCAATTCTCAAATCGCTCGGCTTTAACGAACGCGTCAACTGTGAGTGTTGGCAACTCTCGTTTCGCCTTGACACTGGCGGCCAAACGTCCCAATCGAGTGAAAAATATGGTCCCGATCGCACCCAGTCCCAACACCCCCACGCGTAGTTCATTCGAACGGTTAGTACCTACTTCTTCCATGACATTTTGGAGGCATGATACCGAGTAGATCGATCGTCCTACAGATCGGTACGCGCTGGGATTCCTGGAGCATATCCGCAGCATATTTGCGAATCAAATAGGAATCTGTGAAATAGTCCGAAAAAAGTCGCATTGATCTGGCCTTCAAATTTGATCGAATAACATCAAATTTGAAAGAACCACCAGACTGGCAGCATGTGATCGATCACACAATTGTCATCACTGCACAACAAACAACTTACGAGACCTACGAGCGGGAGCCACTCACCTGATGCACATGCGACCTCGTGAAGGATGAAAACCTAATTATTACTGCCTTTATGCAGTTTACCAACCGACGCGTCGTTTCACTCGACCAAAATCGATCGAGCTCCAGGGTGTCAATAATGCCTCGACGGACTCTGGCGATCGATTCATCGTCCTCGGCCTTGGCTGTCGAGGACGAGGTCATTCAATGGCTCAGCGGCCAGATAGACGAAACAACTGGCTCTGTGCCGTTGTATGAAGACCCAGATTTCCCTCCAGAAATCTCGAGTCTGTACTTCGACCCGAATAAACTCCCAGACTACGTTCCTCAACAGAGTCGCGAGTCTTCAGGTCATGTTTTCTGGTACCGACCAACAGAATATGCAGAAGATCCCGACTACTTCAAAAACTCAACCGGATGTGGCGATCTGCGCGAAGGATTGCTCAATGATGCGTGGCTACTGGGCGTGTTTGCGGCTGTAGCTCTACATCCGGATAACCTCATTGAAAACCTCTTCGTGTCCGAATCACTGCAAAATTTTAAGCAGTTCGGAGTCTTTACATGTCGGTTCTTCAAGGACGATAACTGGGTACCTGTGACAACTGATACTCGGATCCCGTACTCAATGGAACTCCAACCGGAAGACAAGGTTTCCAGTGGAGGGGGCTCAACCTTCTCACCAGGGTCTGCACTCTACGGTAGTAGCGTCAACAGGAGTGAAGTGTTTATTCTGTTCCTAGAAAAGGCGTATGCAAAGTTACATGGCAGCTACCAGGTTTTAGACGAGAAATATGGCGGAGGGATCGGAGGAAGTGCCGGTACGAGTAGTGGACGGATCTTAGAGGCATTTCTGGACTGTACCGGGGGTAGTGCACATCGCGTTGACCTGCAACAAGAGCGTATCAAACAACTGCAGTTCGATCAAGCCACAGCAGGGAACTCATCAGCAGCAGCGTCAAGTCCGTCGATACTGTTGTGGAAACAATTGTTGCGTTACAAGAAAAAGAAGTGCATTTTAACGACCCAGTTACGCCAACTTTCGTTTAACGCGCAGGACGTAACTGCAATGGGCATCGTTAAGAACCGTCAGTACGTCATTCTACATGTGACCGAAGTGGGACTTCCTTCCGGACAAGGAGGTTCAGCCTCCCGTGAGGAAGTGTTACGTTTTGTGAAGCTCAAAACCGTTTGGGGCCGTGGTATGTGGAAGGGAGAATGGTCAAATGACGACAGCAAATGGGAGGAACACACACAAGTTGAGCAGGTAATGCGTTCTGATCCACGTTGCGAGTTCTCGCGCTCAGGACACGACGGGTGCTTCTGGATGGTGTGGGAAGATCTACTAGATACGTTCACTGAGCTCTTTGTAGTGCACATTTTCCAACCCGAAGACCGACAATACAGCGTACGTGGCGACTGGGTGGGTACAACCGCTGCAGGAGCTCCAGTAAAGATGCCAGTCCCAACCGCAGGTGACGATCACAACTCATCGCCTCATCCTGGCCGTTCAAAGGAGATTTTAATTGAAAAGACTCGGTGGGGTTGGCTTCACGACGCAGATCCTAATTGGCACCGCAACCCGCAGTTTAAGCTCACTGTACCCCTGGAAAGCCTTAGTACTGGTAATGACAAAACAGTTGATAAGTCAGTGAACAGTGTGTTGTTGTCACTCACACAACGCGATTTCCGACTGTATGGTGGGGATAACTACGCGATCAACTTCGTGCTGTTACGTGAGAAATTGACGCTAGCAACCGCTGCGTCGAACGACCCACCGCCTGCTATATGGGAATTCAAACGTAGTCACGTGGTGGCTGAAGCTCACTCGTACGAAACCTCGTCTGCTATCGATTTGCCACCTGCAACGCCAGCAACCCCCGCGTTATCTCATCCAGCTACGCCAATGGCAGGTGTCGTTGCCAATGCTGCTGGAATGAGTGCTCCAGTCACTAGTGGGCAATCTAAGACGCTTCCTGAACGCGAACTAGTCAAGGAGGACGTCACAATCGCCCCCGGCGCAGCTTATTACCTCATTCCGTATACGACGAACCCCAAGGTCGAAATGGAGTTTTTCCTGCGTGTCGTGGCCCCTCAACCTGTGCGTGTTGAGCGCGTTCCTCCTATTATGTCAGTAATTCGCACAGGACGTTGGCGAGCTGACGATGGAGCTGCCAATAATGATACCAACAACACTTCTGGTGGCACTAGTAGTACCGGTGAAATGGCAAACGCTGGCGGTCCTTTACTGACGTTGCCATTGCCACAGTCTCACGTGGTTGGCAAGGAGAACCCGGCGTGGTGTCAGAACCCGCAATTCTGGGTCCGGTTCGCTGAGAGATCCCCACGTGAACTTCGGAGGCTGCGCAAACTTTTATCAGCCAAAGCTCACGTAACTATCAAAGTTGTGCTTCGTAAGACTTCGCATCGTGCATCGCTCGGCAACAAGAGCCGACAGCAGCGTGAAGCGGCTAAAGATCGCGCCAACCTGGTCGGGATCACAGCTGTACGAGCACCACCGACGATCTCTACTGTGTCTGTAGTTGTCGGGGGGTCTGGCAGCTCAGCAGCTACGCAACTTCGAGCTCATGCCAAGGGACAAAAGACCAATTTCCTTGGAGAAATAGTCGACTCGCCATTCACAAAAGCAGTTGCAGTAAGTGATAATTTAGTTCAAGGTGCCAAATCCCGAAACCAAAAAGCTGAGAAAACAATTGCCGATGATTTGGACGATGATACTGAAGCTCCAGAGCAAGCGGAGCCTGGATCGCTCTCGGGTAATTTCCCTACACCCAAACTCGTCGTCAAGCCTACAGAATGGTGTCGATTGTCTTCGTATTCCAGTCCAGCGTCAGCTTGTCTGTATCTTCGGAAAGTTCCTAAGGAATGGTTGCTCGCTTCGGATTCACCAAGTGCCGTTAATTCCAGTGGGGGAGGTGGACTTCTACTCGTTCCTACATTAGGCGAGGCTGGGGCTGAAGGATCATTCGAACTGCAGGTCGATAGCGATTTCCCATTGCTAGTCGATGAGTTACCTAAAGGTGCAGGTGCAGTCCAAAGTATGCCTGGCGAGTGGACACCAACGAAATCCGGAGGGTGTCACCTTCATCCTGATTGGAGACAAAATCCGAAGTTTTATCTACAGATTCAAGGCGTGAGGCCGACCAAAGTTCGTATCACGCTCACACGTTCGGAGCGCGAGTGGAAAACTCGTTGCCAACGAGATTCTGTCGGTACGATGATTGGATTTTATCTGTTCCGAGGTGGGTCCGGCAAACTCATGCGTCCGGCTGAAGAAGGAGATTCCAACTCAAACCCCATCGTGATAAATGGGCGACCGTGGAGTGAGACAGATTTTGTGCCTCTGCACTCAGTAAGTTCACCGCCCGACCTCGTTCTCTCTGCGGCGGCCAAAGGGGGCTACGTGGTTGTTCCTACCACGTACGAGCCTGGAAGATTGGGTAAGTTTGTGCTTTCGGTGCAGTGTGACACTGAGTTCACACTCACTTGCGATGCTGAGTAGAAGCGAAAGAGAAATCAGCATTAACCCTTCTAGCCCCTGTGTTTATGCTGTATTATACAGCATACGGGACTAGAAGGGTTAAGTAAAAGAAATAAAATACTTTCGTGCACAGTAAAAATATAATAAGTCCCATAAATTTATCGCCCAACATTAGCTCTAACAGGACACTCTAGGTACCAAGCTGGTTAACGTCTTTCTGGTTGTCTTGACGTTGTTGACAATACTGGGGCAGGGCAAAAGTCCGCATTGGTTTTGGTACTCAATTCCGAACCAATGTGGTCCCACCACTGCTTTTGCACGCCAGGAAAGTTGCAGTGATTTCGATTTTCGCAGTCCATCGGAGAGGCCAATTCGCTTCCTTCATCGTCGGTGTCATTTGTTGCAATACTCATCGCCGAGTTGCACTTGTTGTTGCTATTCGTAGATGCCTTGGGGTTCATCATCTCAACGCAGTCGAGAAATAAATCGGCCGAGTTGCTGCGCTCTCGTCCAGAAGTGCCCTGCCGCTTTAGAACTTCCACTCTTGACTTGCCCACTCGCCGCTTTTTCAGGTCCATTAGTATGTTTTGTGATACTGGAGGCGTATCAAATGCACTCGACGCACTTCCACAGCTGCTACTTGATGACGAAAATTCATGATCCGTCAACTGCAGTCCCGAAAATCCCATCCATGCAGACTGGTGGTTCTGCAACGTCGGCCCTTGATGCGGAACATTTGCATCCAGCATTACTGTGCTCGAAAAAAAAGGCGTGGAATGTGGCGGTGAAGCTGTAAACAGAGCCTTTGGCATCGGCACTGGCATGGCCATGGACGTCGGCAACGCCATGGTCCTATGCGACATTCTCAATGGTGATAGCAACGTCGGAATGCCAGATCCAAGTGGCGAGCTTACTGACAGCGGAGACGGCAAGGGCAGCATGCTGGAAGTTGTTGCCGACCCACACCATGTCGAAGTTGCCTCTGCCATCACCTGATCCTGTTCTTGCTTTGGAATTTTCATTGTTGCCGTCATTTTCATCTGCTCTGGAGTTGCCATTTCCGTTTGAGTTTGACTCTGTTTTGCCTTCTCTTGAAGTTTTGCCGCTTGGCGACAGCGACGGCGATACGTCGAGTACCAATGATTCTTGATGGCGTTATCGGTGCGACCAGGAAGCAGCTTGGCGATCTCGGCCCAGCGGTTGCCCAGGCGCTCTTGAGCTGCCAAGATCAGCTGTGTCTCGTCCGCCCGCCACGGAGCCTTGTCGATGTTTGGGTCAAGGAAGTTGAGCCAGCGCGTACGGCACTGCTTGGGCGTGCGACCAGGCAGCAGCGCCGCGATTTTTGCCCAGCGCTTGGTGCCACATTCGTTCACAAAGCGCAGGATCACAGCGTCATCTTCGGGCGTCCACGGACGACGCTTATCAGGCACGCCGCTACTGCTCGTGCTACATGAGACTGGCGAGGATAAGATCGGAGAATCGATGGCCACCATGGCCGAGACCTGACAGGCTTGTGCTATTTCGCTACGGGAAGGTGGTCGCTTGGCACTGTCGCATCGAGGGGGTTGGCAAATGTGGGCTAAGCACTTTGCGTTTGCCTTTGGCAGTTAGTTGGTTTTTGAAGTCGCTCTTCTGCAACAGCGTGAACGGACAGCGGGGCACCATTGGTTGAAATCGCGGCCAGCCGCATGTAACAGTCGCAGTGAGGAAAAAGAGCCATACGACCTTTCGTGAAAAAAAAGAAGGAAAAAAGAGAGATGCGCAATTTCGACTTGCTCGAGGGCACCGGAGACTTTGGGGAAGCTCCTGTTGCTTCCGCTCTGTGCGTTATGCTTGCCTCGTAGTGCAGGATACAGCCTGGCGTTTGGCAACGTTGGAAATGCTGTGCCGTCGCAGGCGAATGGCTGGTCAAGTAGCGCTGATTGATCAGTGGAGCTAGCGATGGCGTCAGGTGTCCGTTGAAACTACGGAAGGACAGTCGAGACTGACAAATGTACTCCAAACGAATCGTCATCCGAAATGGCACTAGGAGGCTGGATAATGAAGGAATGCCTTTGGCCTTGATGCCTATGACCAGCGCATTGAAGCCTTGGGCAGCCTGAACCTTCAGCTGCGCGGCTCGTCTCGACAATGATGCTGATTCCAAGTCAGGAGACCGTGTACAACGTCACCTTGTTGTATATTCGATGCGTTCGTTTCATCGAGCATTCGCGCAGCCGTGAAGCAAATCAGGAGGTAACGGGATTGCCTTGATTTCATCCCTGCCAACGGCGCTGCCCGCATGTATCGTTGACATTGCTGAACCGTGCTTTTAACCGGCTTGCGCTCTGCTATCCTTCGAGGCTCGTTCGGCGCGCTTGGCGTGTGAGCTTCATGCTGCTCCGCGAAAGCAGATTGCTGAATGCATTTGGATGGCAACCAGGTAATTTGCTGCTTTCGTTGACTTTCAGTTGGACGCTGGATGCCGTTCAACGGCAAGAAGGTCAGCCACAGAAAACCAGAAAACTGTGTTGCTGCAGTTCGAAGCAAAATTGCTTTATCCAGTCGTCTAGATGTCGCCACTCAGGCGACTTGCCTCCTCGCTCGAAATGAGCTCTCGAATTGACAATCAACAGGTTGTTTGTTGGTAATCGACACTGGGGACGTTCGATCACCGTAACGATGGGTCTTCATCGCGCGTCTATTGTTCATCCATGAAAGAATCCAAGGAAGTATCTGGAGCTTTGAGAAATCAGTGGACGATTAAACAAGATTAAGCTCGTCGATGAGTTCAGCCAGTAGTGCCCGAGCATTAGTTGATCACTTTACTGTTAGTACATATATGTCAAACTACAAGAGATCAGCTTGTGTCGAATCGGGCTAGGTGGGCTCTGGTCAGAAATGTGGGTGTATCGAGCTTACGACTGCAGATTCGCGAGCAGTACACTACTGCCAGTAGTGTGTTGGAAGCGCCAATAAAACTTTTCATCAATTGTGCGTGCAGGAACGAATCACTATTTTTTTTTTCCACCCAAAATGTAGCCATCCTTCTTTTTTCGTCCAATCAAAACTCGGTATCAGCTATATCTCAGGATCCATATTTCCCCCTTTCGACGACACCAAGAAGGACTAGAAAAGTAGCAAGCATGTCGACGCTCACCAGTACGGACATGGGCGAGCTCAAGCGCCCCACCACGCGCGTGCACGCGCCTCCGGGAGGCGGTTCCAGCTGGAGCTTTGGCGATTACTCAACACCCGCATCTACGGGTCGCAAGCGCGTCAACCAGCCACAGACTCAGCCTGAACAGGATACTAAGATGGAGTCACCGCGTTCGTCGCCGCCTCCCGCGCCCGTGCAGATTCAGAATCAGAATGAAACGCAGGTCACTTTTCAGACAGAATCAGCAGTGCGCGTGGCGCTGCTCAAAACCAGCAGCGACGCTGAGATCGTCGATACAGCCGTGCAAAACTGCCAGGCCAAGCTGTCAGAGGCTGTAAACTCGGAGATTTTTACAGTTGCAAACATTGAACAGCTGCCATACGCTGCCAATAAACTCACAGAGTTCGGCGGCTTCGACGGCGTCATCTGCTTCGGCTTCTTGAACACGCAGGACCCGCAGTTCACTGCGATCAGTGCAGCCTTGACGCAAAGTCTCATCAAAATTAGCGTCAAGAACGTGCGTCCAGTAGTCCACGCTGTCTTCATCGGAGAGCCTCGTGTGGCCTCTGTGAAGGTTCGAGGAGGCTGGGGTGCCGAGTTCGCGGAAGGAGTCGTACCTTTGATCAACTTGGGCGGGTTTATTGGGCCTATCGCACACCCGGCGTCTGGATCTCCCGTAAAAAAGCACTTCGAGGTCAGTCGGGGCAACGTTCTACCTGCTAAGCTGCTCCGTGGATCTAAAACTGTGCTACAATCGCTCGAGATCCTCCGAGACTCACTATACGAGCACGGAGCCAAGGGTATTCGTGGCTTGGGACGCAAATTCCGCATCATTGACGACGATGGCAACCGCTCACTGAGTCTGGATGAGTTCAGTAAGGCCATTCGTGAACATGCTCTTGAACTCAACGAGCAAGAAGTGGAGGAATTGTTCCATTTCATCGATACCAACAACTCTGGAGGCGTGGACTTTGACGTGTTTCTCTTGGCTGTACGTGGTGAGCTGAACGAGCGTCGCACGCAGTTGGTTCTGGCGGCTTTCAAGATCCTAGATGCAGACGGGAGCGGCGTCGTGGACCTGGATGACATTAAGGCAAAGTATAGTGCTAAGCAGCACCCCGATGTGCTACAAGGCCGTAAGACGGAGGACGAAGTGCTGCTTGAGTTCCTGGACACATTCGACGGTGGGGAGAAGGATGGAAAGGTCCATCCGAGCGAGTTTGTGCGCTATTACGCTAATGTGAGCGCGTCTATCGATGATGACGACTACTTTGAGTTGGTGATCCGTAACGCGTGGCACATGAGTGGAGGGGAGGGCTGGTCGGCCAATACGACGTGTCGTCGGGTGCTTGTGAAGCACGAGGATGGCAGACACACGATTGAGGAAGTGAAGGACGACATCGGTATTGGTGCTGGAAACGTGGAGGCTATTCGCGAAAATCTCCAGGCCCAGGGTATCAACGATATTCAGTCTGTGAGCACGACAGGTAACGTCCAGGCTGAGAGTGACGCTAATAAGCGCTCGAACGACAGCTTCCAACCGCAGGTGGCACGAAAGAAGCAACACGGAGCCGGACAAAGCTCCATCATCTTCGGCTAGACTGACAAAACATAGCAAGCTGAAGTCAAGCCATTCAATAAAACACGTTTAGAAACGCCAATTTCTATTCAAGCTTTATGTATTCGCTCTACTAGTATTAACAGTACAACTTTAATCAACGCTCTAAACTACTACGTGGGGATATGCGTGCCTCAACTTGCTGTACTTTGTCCTCATTCCGGATCAGAGTATATTAAAGTATTTTGAATTGGCGATCATCGGCAGCATATATCCTCACCATGCACACATGCAATTCACAATACACACAACTAAACGTACCTGTCGCCGCTCCACCGCAGTACCTCCTCGCAACCTGTATTACCACACCAGCACCATCAAAACGCAATAAAACCCGACGTCTTCGCTCTGCAAAATAGTTCCCAGGGTCATATTGGCCATCAACCAATCGAGTCAGCAGTCCAGACCGCCTTCTCGCCAGTCGATGGTTACCCGATAGATCTCTGAGGTTTGATCTGCAAATATCCTGAAGCCATCCAGTCGATACGAAACACTTAGTTCTCCGGGATGTCCAGCTCGCCCTCGGTGATGAGGCGCTGGATCTCCGTGGGGGCCTCGCCGTTGACCGTGCAGCCAAGCGAAGAAGCCGTGCCCAGGATCTCCTTGACCGTGCCGGCCAGGGTGCGGGCCATCGAGCGCTCGCGCATGATGCGGGCCACCGAGATGACCTGGTCAAGCGACAGGTTGCCGTCGTGCTTGATGTTCTTTACCTTCTTGCGGTCACGCGGGGGCTCCTTGAGCTCCTTGACCAGCAGCGACGAAGCGCTGGGGATCAGCGTGACCGTAGCCTGACGGTTGACGATGGTGAGCTTCACCGTCACGTTCAGTCCCTTCCAGTCCTTGGTGGCCTTGCAGATGTCCTCACCGATCTTCTTGGGGGACAGACCGAGGGGACCGACCTTGGGGGCCAGAGCCGAAGCGGGGGCAACCTCGCCGCCCACCGTACGCAGAACGACGACCTTCTCTTCGCCAGCCGGAGGTGGAGCGCCCATGTTGTTTATAGAGGATGCGAGTTAAAAGGGGGTAGAAGCTTCGGGGGATTGAGAGCGAACTCGAATGACCAGCACACACGGCGACGGCGGCGGCAATCGTAGCTCCTCGACCAACCAACGCTGAGACGTCGTGGTAAGTACGAAACCTGGCAAATGGCATGGACATGGTAATTAGAAGAAATAAGAAAAACCTCGACACACCTCGAGGTTATAATGGACGGAAAGATACGCCAAGAACAGTGACAAAAAATAAGCCACTTTGACAAAAAAAAAAATACGGCTCAAGTATCTCTTGTAATAGCGGACGACTGGGCTTGATTAATTGCCTTCTTTCGTAGCGCATTGACAACGTCACTGCCTATGTGCCTATCCATCTACTTCGCTCCCTTGAAACCTCCAAGCTGGATCAATGACACGACGCCATCCGCAAATTCAGCACCCCAGCCTCCCTTCACCTTGACTGACGCCACACGAGGCTCTCCAACAAACACAGCACGTACCACAGGACGCACGTTCTTAACGCTGATATCAATGAAGCTCTGTGTCAGTGCCGCACTCAGCGCTTGGAATTGCAGATCCTGCGTATTTAGAAAGCCGAAACAGATGACGCCGTCAAAACCGCCGAACTCCGTCAACTTGTTGGCCGCGTACGGCAGCTGCTCCAGCGACGCAACCGTGAAGGTCTCGGAGCGAACAGACTGAGTCTCCAGTTTCTCGAAGCAGTTTTGCACCACACGGTCCACGAGCTCTGCGTCGCTGCTGGTCTTGAGCAATGCAATGCGCACGGCTCCTTCTGGTGCCTTCGCTGTAGTTTGAGCCGGAGCTTGAGCTGCTGCGGGAGCAGGAGCTGCGCGTGGAGATTCCATCTTGGCGTCCTGCAGTGCCTGCGCTTGAGGCTGGTTGAAGCGTTTGCGACCCGTGGGGGCGGGAGTTGAGTCGTCTCCGAAGCTCCAGCTGGAGCCGCCGCCAGGAGGGGCGTGCACACGCGTGGTGGGGCGCTTGAGCTCCCCCATGTCCGTGCTGGTCAACGTCGACATGGCTTCACGTCACGATCTGCTTGCTGGAATGCAAATTGGTTGAAAAGGCAGTAAGATCGGAATAGTCTGATTGGGGGAAATAAACACTTTGTTTTAGCCAATGGGAAGCGACTTTTCTTCGATCACATCACAAAATGGTGATACTGGGATTTCAATATAAGTTTACGCTACAAGGGATCGTTTTTTTTAAGCAACTGACGCCGTTCATCTTCTTACCGAAGACTTAAAGCTGTGAATCTGTTTTTTGAGAGACCTTAGCATCTGCATCGAATCCATTATGTGCTGCCAAGGCCGATGTGCAATGCATGGGGTAAGTAGAACTTCTACTGTGTAGAAGATACTGGAGCTGGATTGATCGAGTCGACATGCTGCGATCAGTGCGGATTCGATGCGAGTGTCCAACATGCGCTGAATCTGTACCGGTGGTATCCTTAAAAAAAAAAACATGTTCGACCACATCGCCAGCCTGTAAAACGGTGCAGAGTGCATCTTCGATGGATGGCTCACTACAAGCAGCGTGATACGCAAAACTTAAACAACTCGTCCTCGTTGCAGTTGCAGTGGCCATGACCGCCATACAGTGCGTGCACCACCAGCACGCAAACAGAGTGGAGGACGCATGCACCACCAGCACTGGAAGTCTGATGAGGGTTTTATTACCGTAATCTATCGTGTGACAGTATTGGTCCGAACTCCCCTTCCCCTTACACTCCACTCCACCATCTGCCATTCGCACCACCGACCAGCACGCCAGAATCCAATTGACGCGTGCCACACATAGAAGCCGCCGCTCGTCGTGCTAACGGTCGGTGGCAGCAGGCAACACGTCACTTTCACACTCTCCCAAACTCAAGCAGGCAGTTCCGATCACTTTGCCTCCTGCATCGAGTACCCCGAGCTCTCCCTCCGTCTAAGCCGCATGGAGGCCACCCTGTCCGTCAGTAACCCCGAGCCTCTCGAGACGCTCGAAATCCCCATCGACAACGACGCCGAACTCATGAAGCAGCGAGCGGGCAAAGCCTCATCAGACATTTCAACGCAGAGCCACAACGTGAAAACAGAGGACGCCAACGAGGAGATGAATAAACTACCGCTCAGCTCGTCGTCCACTACTCGCAGACTCGCCTACGCAGTGGCGGTGGGTATGATCGTGATCACATTCTACAGCTTCCCCATGCACCACCATTTCCACGGTCGCGGCGGTAAAAACGCGCGTTACGTGTGGTGGTGTGGCTGGCTTACTGCTATCGCTACAGGCCTCGGTGCACTACCGTTCTACTGGATCCGAGACCTAGATAAGTTCTGGTTGGGTATCTGCAATGGTCTGGCTGCAGGCATGATGATCGCAGCTACCGGTTGCTTGTTCTACGAAGGCTGGTACCTTCCACAAGCCACAGACTACGCCGTTTCCGTGAGCTACCGTCTCTTTTTAGGAGCTTTCCTCGGTGTTTTATTCATCAAGTTCACGAAGGTGTTTCTCGAAGACTACGAGGACGTATCGGTGTGTGGGCTCAAAGGTCTGGATGCACGGAAGGCGCTGTTGATAATGGCAGTTATGACGCTGCACTCCGTGTCTGAAGGCATCGGTGTTGGTGTGTCATTTGGTGGTGAAGGTGGCATCCGTCGTGGGCATATTGTCACTATGACGATGGCTATCCACAATATACCTGAAGGTGTGGCGATCAGTCTGTCGCTTGTGCCACGTGGTTTGAGTGTTTTCTACGCTGTGTTATGGTGCATCATTTCAAGTGCACCGCAGCCGATCTTTGCAGTACCGGCCTTCCTGTTCGTGGAGCAATGGCTCCCTATCCTCCCATGCGGTCTGGGTTTTGCTGGTGGTGCAATGGCTTATGTGGCAGTGCAAGAGTTGCTCCCCGAGTCGCTTGAAGACACTAAATCTGTGCCTACGACGGTGTCGGCTACAGCGTTTGCATTCATTGTGTTCCTCACGATCCAGATCGCGCTCAGTGGCTCCATTTAAGCCGATTTAGAAGCTGTGTACCTGTACGTGCATTTGAGAGAGCTACAGAAAAATAATTAGGGACTCAAATTGAATGCACTCGATCTATTATTTAGCCAACACAGATTCAAGGCAGCTTATTCAAAACGGTCAAATATCTATCGGATCTTGAAGGGCCGTTTGCGACCATCTGCATGAAGCCAGTGAAGAATTTTGTCGAAGAATTTCTCAAACCACAAGTGAGAATACAAGACCAAAGGAGAAGAAACTCAAGTATGAAGCTGTCGACGTTGATTCTGGCGCTGGTGTGCCTCTCGCAGCTGGGCGGAAGCTCAGCGAATCAAGCTACTGACATCATGCGCCGCCAACTACGCGTGGGGAAGGCAGTAGCCTCGCTCTTCGAGAACCAGCACCAGACGACGCGCGAGCTGGAGGAAAAGATTATGCAAGATGAAGACAACAAACCCAACGAGGTGCAAGCTGACGCCTCCAAGTTCCGTGTGCGCCGTTTGCGCTCGCCTGACTATGTGGAGCTCATCGAATAAAGACGCTAGGAAGAAGAAGCTGTAGCGATTCCAGAAGCAACATAGTGTCGTTCATGTGCCTAACTGAAATCAAAGATAAAGCAGTCGATTCTGTCTTCGTTTTCTGACGAGCATCCTTTCTTCGGTTAAAAATTGGGCTTAGATGACTGTGCGGTAGCGAACAAAGATTACAACGGCGCCAGGACGAAACCAATAAAGATTTGGGCGACGGCTCCGAGAGACTACAACACAGCAGGCTTCACCTTCACTCATTCCTAGTTCTGACAGCGAATTCCCAGTAGTGTTTTACCTAAACGAGACTCTCGACTCACAATGAAGATCAGTGCGACGGCTGCGTTTACTGCGGTAGCGATGTTCCTGCTCACAACTCCATCGGTCGCACCACCTCCACCCAACAACGACTATGTCGACCCAAACTCCAGTAAAATCTATTCGTCGTCTTCTCTAAGACGAAGAAGGGGTTTGATGACGGATCAGGGACAAACCGCGCAAAGTGATTCGAGGATCGTGGCGGCGGATGGCATTGAAGACACCGCAGGTGGCGGCTGGAATGAGCTGCTTGCGGAGAAGAAGGCAAACCAACACCAAACGAGCGGACACTGACTTCTTGGCCGACGTATGTGTAACCGCCATAACACACCGATGCTGAACGGTTCGAAGTTGTGAAACCACATAGTGGATATGCATGATCTTTCTAAACTGAGAAATATATTGTTTGCTTGATGCTTCAACAGAACGGTCTTTGTCAAACTGGAGTTATTGTTTAATTTCCTATGTAGCTCACATCCGCAGCACTCCATGCGCGGCAACCTAACGAATAAGGCCAGCAGCGATGACCTTTCACCAGTTGCCTAGTCTGCATTGCCAAGCCTCACCACGTTTCACCACTCCATTTCCAAACGAACACCGGAGCTGCAAAGATGAAGTTGACCGTCATGCTAACTGTGCTGAGCGTCATAGCGACTCCGTTTGCAAGTGCAGAGCCCCCAAGACGTCAGCTGCGCCGTGAAAGCGCCCTATCACCGCCACTGCCGAAGATTCTTCTCGACGAAAGCAAAACGAGCGGCAATCTCCACCAACTACAAGATGAAACTGGCGTCAACAAAGTTATCGGACACGCTGCCTCGGCGCTGCTTATCACGCCTGTGACGGGTTGGATCGGCTTGACCCTCCCTAGCCTCCCCGACCCAGTACCTGGCAGAGTGGAGACTCAGCGGCGTCGACGGTTCCCCTAGCGATAATGGTTGTTGAACGGCGCATAGTAACAAAGCAGCTACCTTACCCTCAATCTAAAGCTCATGTGGGGTTATTTCATGTTTTCATCTTTCTTCGAATTCAACTGTCCTGCGATTAGATCATTCAAAGCATACTAAAACATCGGGTAGTTTTACTCCTAATATTTTAGGATACTGATATCTAGATGAGGCCCTGTTTCATTTGAGAAATATGGTACAATACATGTGGAGCGCCAAGTGCCGCCGCTAGCTACGCGGCGGTAAGTTATCTTTGGTCGTGTTTGTTCAGACCTTCCTCGCCTTCGCTTCGGCGGGATAATACATGTACTCTTTGTAAACCACCTCTTTGTTTATTGATTATCCTTAATTATTGTGGATTTCATCCATTTTGGCAAAACGAATGAATGGTCCGAGATCCGATATATCGGACCCGATTTGCTGCACTCCTCCGATATGAACATAGGGGAAAGGTAAGGTAGCTATCTCGGCCGCTTTTGGATGGCAAAAGTGATCTACCCAAAATCATTCGCTAAGACACCTCCTATCAACGAGAATGGGTGGATGTTTTGACTCGGTTACTTGAGTGTTTTGAATCGGACACTGGGAACTCAACTAATTGGATCGGACACTTGGATCAATCCTCTCACGCAACAAAATACAAGCCTATAACTGTAAAACTAGATAAATAGACTTTCCGAAATTATAGTTATAGCCAGATGGAACCACCAAATCTGCAAAAGTATCCGATTGAAATAGTAATTTTGCAAGTGTCCAGCTAAAAATACAAAAGTAACCAGCTCATAACTACATGTATTGTACCTTTCTGCCAAAACGCCCTCAGTTTTATGGTAGTGTGGCCATTACGGAAGACCTCCTATCTGATCGGGTGCTTCCGACTAAAATTTAGCCTAACCCTTTGACGAAAAAAAAGACGATGCCAATCAAAGAAAAGGGGTGCTGTCGCGAACAAATTGTTGCATTTCAATCGGCCATTTAGGGTGTCGTCGACATTTCCTGTTGTCTTGAAGAGATGGTACCATCTCCGAAGGCTTCTGGCCGAGACGCCCAGTACACCGGCAACTACGCTGATCTCAATATTGTAGACATACTGCAAGACAATGCCTCGCCAGCGTATGTCTGATGAGTAGCCCATATTTGATTTAAAATCAATCTGTTGTGGATACCTTACGTAAGGGTAAATGGCCGGCAAATACTGGCCATTCAGCCCTTAATTTGTTAAAAGGTACCCTTTAGACCAAATCGGAGCCCTTACGTAGGACCTCCACAATCAAGTATTATTGGATCATAGTCGGCAAAATCAAACAGTGTTATTGGTCAAATATCATTTATTTAGTGGCCTGGCTTAGCAATTCAACTCCAGTTCGTCCTCAAATCCCACCTTTAGCCCTACCCACCCTTGCTTAGGACCAGCCTTTAAAGGTCAGATTGGCCAAAACTTTGGAAAGGCACAATAATCACTCCACCCTCCAAGGGAACTCTTTGCTCCAAACTGGAAATTACCTACTCTCTTTTTTACCAACCAGTACCAGAAGGAGCATGACGGATTGAGCGCGGTATGCACCTTCAATACTACGCGCCGGTCGAGGAGGAAAGCGACGTGAGATGGAATACCCAGGGATATGCATGGACGCTAACCCATCGAATTAGTGTAGCTTTGCGTTCATAGTCATTTTATTATCTAGTACGTAAATCAATATAGCGCTGTAGTATATTAGTATGAAAGCGGGATCGTATCCGGATCAGTTAATGTATCGAAAACACTAACTACAACAACAACAACGCGGGCCAGACGCATCAGATAAACAGAACCCATAATTTTATTTTTTTTTCTAAGTCAATGCGATCATGCATGGTTTCCCCTCAGCAGCTCGATACCTCGTAAAAATCCATGCGAATGTGACAAAATATAAATAGTTTATCTTGGTATTTGTATTGCATGAAATTGTGTACAAACACAACACACGAACATGAATTAATCCCAGTTGGGCTGCACGTTTACTTCGTACCACCAGTATAACCTATCAGATACACCGTTCACCCTAATTAGTCGTGCCACGACTATTTACCGTGTACGACTTCCAGACTGATCTCACGCGTTTTACAATTTGATTTTCGAAAGAAGTTGCTAATCTTTTCTAAATTCAAAAGGCATGGCGCATTTCAGCTCGTCGAGATCAGATCTACTATAACTGCATCAATTTGCTAGTTGAGGCAGAAATGCAAGTATATATCAATACCTGTGGGATTATTATTTACGGTGCGTGATTGTTTAGGTCACACGACTGACTAGGGTGTAACAACATACTACCTGCCATATACTAATAATTCATCACGCAACATGCATCTAAAAACCAAACCGCTCTCGCTTTATCTTGCAGAGCTTTCAAGACACACATTAATTGCATTATTCGTAGGACTCAATCGTTCTAGGTGTTCGGGATTGAACTTCATAAATATTGAAAAAAAACCCCGCAGCTTTTCAGAACTCGGTGCTGTTGGCATTCAGCAAAGTCGCAATGGTCGAAGCATGGAAAAGTTGCGGTTAGAGTCTCTCGTGCTGCATTTTTCAAAGTTTTTTTCTTCTTCTTTCCTTTGTCAGTTTTCTAGGATTTTATTGACTAAAAATCGAAACTCGTTATGCCAAAGCTGACGAGAAGCGTGCCGTAACCTTGGGTAAGGATGCTTCACAACTAGTTTTTCGACTGTATCCGTGGAGTCCGGAAGCTATGGAACAATTTAATCTCGCTTTCCCTTCAGCTACCTACAAGGACTAAGAATTGATTCATTATACTATTAATCTAGAGCTGTTCCGGGCGAAAGCACGGCTTTGTTATCGCTTCCTTGATTCATTGATAAGAGAGCAAATTTCGAAAGACTAAATTATTCGCCAAATGCATGTGCAGAGACAAGCAATGAAACGGATGAGAAAGATGAACTTCAGAGTGCATGCTCCATCTCGCTTATTCCAGTATTTGGCATCAAAGAAGCGGACTTGATGCCGACAGGATATGTGCCCCGTGTCGTGGAGGAGTTTCTCGCGTCTGGGTCAGACATGAATGTACAACTTGTCGACGTGGATGGCCTTATTTCTCTTTTCGATGCTTGGATACAACTCGTATCATACGAGAGGCGAGAACTATACTGTTTTCAGTTACGCTTCCTGTGCATTTTGTCTAACTGAAATCACAGTCGACTGTCCAGAGTACGCGTAATGCGCGTTTTACTCAAACGTGTTTCCATAGTGCTGCAACACTACGATTAAGGCCAGCAGCAATCGGTTTTCACCCAGTTCGCCCAGTCCACCTTGCCGGGGTCCCTCGTTTCCGAGTGGAGTGCCAACCGCATTTCCAAACGAACACCCAAGCGCCGAAGATGAACGTGACTCTAATGCTGACTGTGCTGAGCTGCATGGTGCTTGCTGTTGCCAACGCTGATGACTCTGGGCGCCAGCTACGTCCTAAAGATTCTCCGGGTTCGACACCCTCAAAGCCTTTTCGTCCGCGCAATGACGATCGCCAGCTACGTCAACAAGATCTCATCGGCGGCGTTATCAAAACAGTTGATTTGGTGCTGAACACCCTAACTCTGACGCCCGCACCGACACCCGCACCAACGTTGGCTCCGACGTCGGCGCCGTCCCCCGCGTCGACGGAGCAGCCTGACGAAGCGGAGCTTTTGCGCCGTCGTCGGACAGGGTAGCGAGAAGATTGCGAAACAAAGCAGCGTTGTTTGCCTTTTACATTGTAATTCTGTCAATGAAGAACTCGCTACATGTACAGACGACCTTTATCCATTCTGAGAACGTGTTTTCACTCACTTAACGGTTAAAACTGAAAATGTACCTAACCGAATAGCTTCCGGTCAAAGTCAGTTTGATGAAGTCGATCACCAGGAGCTGAAAATAATCCGACGGCAACGTCAAGAAAATATGTCGATAGACAAATTAATGCAGACGCACAACAGATCTCCGTTTAAACTTGTGAAGAGACCCGTTGCACCTCAACGGACAATGTAGCCATAGCACAAGCTGAACCCATTCTATGCGCCAAACTTCAATAAACCTGTAGCCATTTCCTTGTGCCATTTCTAAAATCTCGACGCTCTCCACACCCCGATAATCTATCTGACTGTAAGGAAAACATGCGCACGACCTTCGTGCTGGCGTTGGCGGTGGCCATTTGCGCGCTGTTGAGTGTTCTCGTCGTCCAAGCAGAAGAAGGGCGACTACAGGTCGGCCAGATCAAGCCAACCAATCGCCGCGCTGAGGAGACCGAGGAGAAGTCCGTGAAGGCAAGTCTGCCCAAGATCCAGCACCCAAGCAAGTAAGAGCGATCAATAAACAGTAACATCATCTTTGAAGAGCGATAACAAATAGCTTGGAGAAAGCAGCAATAATTTCAATAAACTCTTCTTATGTTGCAGCTCAAACTTGGTCCATCGGAAGAGGAAGAAATGTACCCAGATCGCCCTCTTTATGGGTTCAGGGTACAAGCTTCACAATACTCAAGAGCCTCTTCATTTTTAATCCACCGCAGTGAGTGAACAATGAAGACGACGCAGATTGTAGCAGTGCTGAGCTGCGTGGCGCTTGCTCTGGCACCAGCATCGATCGACGCGGTGCGGTCCCTCCGTGCCGAAGATGTAATGACTCCGTCTCCTCTGGATGCGTTCAAGGTTGCGATTGCGAAGTTCGAGAAGAAACCTGCGAGTCGCCGACTTAACAGCGATGAAGACGAAAAGGAAGTTATCAAGAAGTTTACCAAAGCTATGGAAAAGATGAAGAAGAATGGACGAGCTTGAATGACGACGCACAAACAATAGGCCGCAATAAACAGAGACAATTGTGAGTCTTTTCCTCATATTCCAATCCCAAAAATCACTAGAGTGCCCACTTGCAGTGTCCATCTCATTAGATACGTCGCTCGTTGTTTGTACAGACTGAGAAGCATTAATTAGCTGCGTTGACCGGGATCTACTTCCCCGCACTTGCAGTCTGGGGCTCCTCGTCGTCTTCATCTTCTTCGTCCTGCACCACCTCACCAGCACTTTCAATATTGCCACGAGCCAAGAACAAGTGAGCACGAGATTGGCCACGCAATTCTTCCTGTCGCTCGCTGTGTGCCAGCAAATATGCCTCGCTTCCCATCTATAACCACGGCAGAATTAATTAGAGACTGCGGGCACAAATGAAGCATCCCTTCGATAATTTACGCACCTCGACGAGGCGAGACACCGTGCGATCAAACGCGAAGACCTCGTCGACATGTGATTTCATGTTAACGTCCACTTGGTAAAGACGCTCGGGACTTTCCGGTGCTAGACAATGCAACTAATAATACCAATGAGATATAAAATATCAGTTCATGACAGACATATAAAATAGTAAAATAAATAACTTACCCGCACATCCCGATCGTACATGCAGTCAACGAACGTGATGAATCGTCGCATCTGGTTCAGTTTCTCGGCGTTGAGCAGAGGAATATCACTCACAAATACAACGGAGAACGCTTCTGCAATCGCCAGATAATCTGCTGCTCCTAGAGGTTTATCGCACAGGTCACTGAACGTAAAACGGCAAGCTCCAGCTTCCACGGCAGCCTCCGGTACGTGCACTTTACGTCCCTGTGTGGTCACGTACGTCGCCACTGTTTCCTCTCCTTTACAGTACGTCATGAACTCGTAGTCGAATGCAGCACGCGTGTCCGGAGTGATCGGATATTCGTACACATTGTCAGCATGAATGGCACCTTTCAGCACGCGGTAGTCCGTGGTCGAGTCCTCCAGTGATACGACGTTGCAGCGTTCTCCCAGTAAATCAATAAACGGCACAAAAAGCTCACGTTGTAGTCCGTTCTTGTACAGATCACTGGGTGGTCTATTGGACGTCGCGACCATCACGAATCCTCTGGCTAGCAAGGCTGAGAACAGTCTCCTTAAGATCAACGCGTCGGCCACGTCCGTCACTTGGAACTCGTCGAAGCAAAGCAGCCAGCTGTTCTCCAATAACTCGTCTGCAATGTGAGGAATAGGATCTTCGTGGAAACCCTGTCGTCGCAGCTCGTGCATCCGCTTGTGGATGTCCAACATAAACTCGTGGAAGTGCACGCGCAGCTTGTGCTCCACTGGAACGTTGTCAAAGAACATGTCCATAACGAAGGTTTTACCGCAGCCCACGCCACCGTAGAGATATAACCCCTTGGGTGCGTTAATCGGTTCCTGTTCAGTCTTCTCCTCCTTGCCCGTCAGCTTCTGCCACCACGAACCGGAGGAGTTTGTATTGGTCGCTTGCGGCTTGGGACCTCCGTAGCTTACCACTTCGTCGTATAAAGCGTCCAAGTGGTGAACGGCGCGCACTTGCACGGGGTCGTAGGTCACGTTGCCGCTGTCTGCGCGCTGCTTGTAGATGGCGTGGAGCGTGCGCTGGCTGGACGGGATAGACGCCCCCAAAGTGGAGTTCCAGCGTGCAGCATGCAATGCATTTGACTGACGCAGCGAGGCCACACGTCGGATTGTCAGTCGGTGCATCTTTGACGTAGAGAGGAAGTCTAGAGATGCCTATATAGGACGATGTGAAGGACGCGCTCGAGGACGTGTGGCCCTACTGACAAAATGGGCGCTTGCGTTGTTGCGTTCGCACAGATGATGGGGTTTAAACTTTTTTAACGGCCCCAATGTTTCAAATGCAGAAAATGCAAACCTTTTATAACCAACGCTTCACGTTTTCAATCTTCAAAAGGAGGTGACTTTAAAATGATACTGGCTTTGAAAGTGAATGAAAAATTAAGGGATTGTACTTTAAAAGTGTCACTGTAACGAGATTGAAGTGCGTTCTGATTGGCTGATATCGTGGCTACAAACAAAAGTGCGCATAAGCTGCGGCACAATCACTCCATTGGAAGGTGACGGCGTGCATTTAATGTTAGCTCTGCATCGTGGCAATGGTAGCGAGGCGCCGACCTTCAAGTACCAGGTCGAGTGGCATGCTGCTTGCTCGCCAACGCGGCGAGCATGCCGACAGCAATCTACTTGCGCGTCCACATTCTCCTTTTTGCCGAGACCCCTGAGTTTAAGTCGGAGTCTCGAAGCGGACGAGGATGAGAAAAAGAAAAATCGATATTGCATGACCGACATGAGGGCCGTGCGGACCGGCAGCTGGGATCAACATCTTCTTCCTGTTGAAAGAATGCAATGGAAGGATACGATGGACGCGCAACAGGCCACAATGAAGTGAAGCAAATAATACATGGTACTCTAGCTACTCGGCGTACGTAAAAACTGAAAATGCTGTTGTCGAAAACTGTATGGTGCTAATACTACTAGACGAGAAGCGGAGATGGGAGTCATGTCTCCATCACCGCGAGTTTTGCTGTAATGTGCGTGCTAATACGCATACTGGAAGCGTCAAAACGAAGCACAAGAATAACGTCAGTGTTATTTACACCAGAGCTGAACGTATTGGGAGCCGTACGTACCATGTCGTAGTGCTCGAACGCACTCCTCTATTGCTGCCGTGTTCTTGGAAGCCTGTGCACCCTTCTTGTAGACTACTACTAATGCATCGTTGCCCTCTACTACACTCACTTGTATACATGAGTTGCGTCCGCTCTGGATTGTCATGGAGCTCACCCCGTCACCCGAAAATGACACTACAGTATCAAACAAAGGACCACGTAAGCCACGCACTCAATAGCAGCTATATCAGCACAACGTACTCATATCGATCGAGCTATTTACTAGCGCCTGAAGGTTCGCCAATACTCCAATCGGGTCCACATCTCCTGTTGCACACGTCACTGCGCCGTCTACCACGAGCATCGCCTTCAATATTCCCCGCTGCTTTTGTACTGTTCGAGCAACACGCCGCCAAACGATTAGTCATTGGTCTCAAGTCCCCAAAACACCTCACTTGGGACTAAATTGCCATGGCACACGCACATTTTCTAACAATAGGCTTGACCGACTCGCGTATAACGCTGAGTATTCTGTACTGGAACCTGTGGAAGTCCCGCAGATTGTGACCCATGTTGCCCAGCTCGTCCCCATGCTGCACAATGAACGCTGCCAGCAACTCCTGCGCCACGAACGCCGACAAACTCGCTCCGTCGGTTGTATCATGGAACATGGCGCAGAAGACCTTGTGCTTATCATTGGTCACCACCGTCACGGCCACTAACAGCAGCGAAATACAGCGCACAGCGTTAATAATGGTTCATACTTTCCAGCTTCAAACGCTTCTAGCGAAGCAATAATACTGAATCCACGCACCGGAAGACATCTGAATATAAGACACAGGCGCGCCGCTCGCTTTATTGGAGAATTCGAGCATCGCCGTGATTAAGGAGCCGACTAATCGAGGCTAAAGCGCAGCATATGCACCAAACATTGCAAACATGTCCACATTTTTTTCAGTCAAAAGTCGGCTCATAGATCGAATTTTAGAGTAAAAGTTGCACGGTTAGAAAGCCAAGACAATGACGAAGAATGATACCTGGGCGACGGCGTTTGCATATTCTTTGGAGAAGAGCACGATGCCGCTGGACGCCATGATGAGCACGTTGCGCAGCATGGTTCGCAAGCGCTTTGTCTTTGGCCAAGGGGGAGTCAGGAGACGCGGTAACGATTTGACTTGGATTCAGTAAGACATCGAAAATTTCATTTTATAGAATCAGATTGTGAGAATCAGAAATTGTCCTATAAATGAAGCTGCTGTCACTGGTCATTGACCAGTGACAGCAGCTTCATTTATAGGACAGTGGTCAAGCAAGAATCTAGGAACAGACTGCAATGACAGCGCACGAGTCTGCGCCGGACACGACGCCGCTAATGGAGCACGGAATCTCTGGCGATGATGCCGCTCCTCAAGTGATCGAGCGCTATCTGACAGACGAGCAGATCCAGCAGTTTATGGACGAAGGAGTCCTCGTAGTACCCAATGTTCTGACACCAGAAGAGGTGGCGCAGGCACGTCATGGACTGCACAGCGAGCTCGCTAAGTACGGAGTGGTGCGTCAACAACTGCGCCTGGTGTAGTTGCAATGAAATTCTGATGTTGTTGCAAGTGTATTCTTTCGCGGTTAATTTCTAGGACCATGACAATTTGGAGGAGACTGGCGACAATCTCAAGAACTTGTCAAGTACTGGTGGTGCAGGTGGAATCCTGGACCTGTTCTATCCATCATGGCGATTGAAAGTGGCCGAGAATGAGAAAGTATTTGCAGCTATGACCGACTTGTGGGAGGCGACGTACGCACACAACCACCCGGATTTCCTGCATCCATTCGGAGACTTCGATGGCAAACGTGGCTACATGTACATTAACCGCGTGTGCTACCGCGTGCAGGATGTGATATCCAAGAAGTTTGCTAAGAAGAAGTCACGTCCAATGCAGCGATCATTAACCCCACACTGGGACTGCTGTCCGACCAAGATGTTCGACTCAGGCAAGGACACTCCGCGATGGCGACCAATCCAGTGCATCACGGTGCTCACTAGCAACACGGAGTCCAACACAGGCGGTTTTGAATGTGTGCCTGGCTTTCACAAGGAATTTGCTGGTTACGCTGCGAAGAATCAGCCTGAAACTGTGACGGAAGCTCCATTAACGGCTGCTCTTCGCCGTCCGCAGGTCTGTCTTGGCGACTTCTCACCCCTGCGTATGCAAGAAGATCGAGCCATTATTGATCGCTACCAGCACATTGGATGCGAAGCTGGCAGTGTGATTTTATTCGACTGGCGCCTCCCACACGCCAACAGCTACAAACACGTCGGCACCATCCCGCGCGAGGTCATTTACACGGGTTTCATCCCGGATATACCAATCAACCGCTCGTATGTTCAAGAACAGCTTCGTCGGTACAAAGCTCGTCTGCTCCCCGCTGATCACTGGCAAAAAGATGACGTGCATTCTCGTGTCGCCGAGGATTTCTCTGCTCACCATTTTTCGGCGTTAGGCTCTCGTCTTATCGGCCTTCACCCATGGTAACCTCAACATGGCTACATTTCGCTGATCGATTCCAACCTAGAATATAGTTTCCATCCTACAGTTAAAATTCATGTAGTAGTTGTGTACAGTGTGCCAATCAGCCATTCGTCGCACAATGCTACGGAGCACAAGGTCGAGTGCTGCCGCTTCAGCGCTGCGTCGACGCTCCCGAGCGATCTTCGGCACTTCTAACAGGCCACAGACGCCATCAAGACGCCTTTCTAGTATTGCATCCGTTCCTGATGTCTATAAATCTTCTGACAATAGCAAGAAGCATGTGGTCGTGGGGATGTCTGGCGGCGTGGACTCTTCGGTGGCTGCACTACTACTCAAACGCCAAGGTTATCACGTCACTGGAGTATACATGAAAAACTGGGACCCTAGTGATGAAGAAGGAGAGTCGGCGTGTCCTGTAGACTCCGAGTACTTGGACGTGCAGAAGGTCTGCGAGCAGCTCGGTATTGAGGCGCAGATGGTGCGTGGAGGTGGTTAAAATGGACGTGAGCTACACTAATTAGTTTCTAAATGGTGGTTTTCGGTGGTTGCAGGTGAACTTGGTACAGTCGTACTGGAACCAGGTGTTTGCTCCGTGTCTGGAAGGGTACGAAGAGGGTTTGACGCCGAATCCGGACATATTGTGCAACCGGGAGATCAAGTTTAAAGCTTTCACGGAATACGCGAAGAAAATTGGCGCGGACTATGTGGCTACGGGTCATTATGCAGCATTGCGGCCTGCACATGGCTGCGGACCACCGAATCTTTGTGCGGCGGAGGATGATACGAAAGACCAGAGCTATTTTCTGTCGAGTGTGGACGGCAGAGCGTTCGCTAATGTGCTGTTCCCGCTGGGAGGGATGCGGAAGACTGAAGTCCGGCAGATTGCAGAGCGTGAAGGTCTTTGCACAGCGACGAAAAAGGATTCGGTCGGCATTTGCTTCATTGGCAAGCGCAACTTTGCGGACTTCATCCACCAATATATCGAACGACAGGAGGGGTATTTCTACACTGTAGACGGTGAAAAGATGCACTCACACCTCGGATTTACGGCTTACACTGTAGGTCAAGGTGCACGACTTCAAGGTATGAGTGCAAAGTGGTTTGTTGTTGGGAAGCACAAGTCCGACCACTCCGTGATAGTAGCCGAGGGTACACGTAACCCCGCTCTCTTCTCGGACACGCTCTTCGCCTCAGCAACGGAGTTTAACTGGATGGCAGGAGTTTTGCCTCAAGAGCTCCGTGATACTGGCTGCATGCGCTGCTTCTATAGAGTTCGTTATCGTCAGGACTTGGATGAATGTACGATCTCGCTCGTGTCGAACCACGAGGTTCGCGCTAGTGCTAGCAAACTCCATGACTGGCAGCCCGAGCCACTGGCAGATGGTGAAGATGAAGAAAGCAGGGAGAGAAGCTACTTACGGGTAGACTTTGACCATCCACAGCGCGGTGTCACGCCAGAACAAGCCTTAGTGTTGTACCGTGACGACGGACTTTGCTATGGTGGCGGTCCAATTGCTGCGGCTGGTGAGACTTACTACGAGCAGGGTAAACCTCTCGCTGACGATGTCCATGACTGGCATAGACAAGGATAGAGAGGTGTTCGATTAGTGTAGCAGTGCCAGAAATACAAGTGATGCACAGGAGTCTGTCGTAACCACAACTCGGATCACCCTGCTGTCCGAATGCCGCGCAGGTGATTAACGATAAGTAGTATCGTCCTCGATGCCGCAGTCTACCAGCAAAAGGTCTCAATTTCTCGCCATTTTCCGATCGAACTTTCCCGGGTTGTGCTTGCCTGTTGCAAAAGGAGGCTTGCGATGTATAAGTGTATTATAATATATTTTTAACCCCCCCAAAATGTATCAGGCACGTTTGTCAAAATCCTTGATGTTGTATCAGGCACGTAACACTGTGGTTTTGCAAATCCCCTTACAAACTTTACGTCAAGAAGGGGTAGGGATACCCATCCCAAGATGCCCATAGGTCTGTACACGCGTGCATTTTCTGAAAAATAAGTTGTCATGCTGTGAGACACACAATGATATAGACAATCAGAGGTACAATTGCGCGCCACCAATTTTCCCGCTCATTCGAGAATATCTCCCCTGTCCCGCACAAGCCTTGTCCCGAGCACGCCCGTGGAATCATGACGTTCAAGGCTTGTTGGAGAGAACTCAAGCGCGACGGTTGGACATCGAAGCCCCCCGTTGGACTAACTAAAGACTTCTTCTACATAAAGCCCAGGAAAAAGCAAGAAGGGCGTGCGAGGTGAAGATTTCTTCATTGGCGAAAAGGAGCTGATGGATTACTTGGACCGCTTGGCTCTTGGTGAGTGTACAGCCTACTGTAACGATATCACTTTATTTTTCCAGCTACCATGTGCCAGCGGCCCAGATGCACCAGAAGAAGAAGGATCGTGAAGCTTACGGACAAACAATTGCTGCCCAGAACGACCCCAACCACGGTGAAGTGACACCAGGAGGTACGAAGCGTAACACGTGTACTATACACGATATGCAACTGACCTTATCGTGTATCCGACAGACATGCAGGCTGTTCAGATCGAAGCCGTTGATGAACCTCACGCTCAGTCGCAGCAGGTACCGTCTAAGCTTTGGCCAAACTATCAACACTTGACTGATCGAAACATGACTGTATAGGCTCGCCATTGCGCACTACACCGGGTGGCCGCCTGATCTCCACATCGCCACACCTGACGGCAAGCGACGCAGACAGTGCGACGAGCTCGCATAACAGCCCAGTGGTGCAGGTTGATACCGAAGGTACATTTGTAGAGCTGAATTATGCAGATGCGACCTACAGGCTAATGTGTATGTTGTGTATAGTTGTGCAGCGCAATTTATCGGCAGACTTCGAAGGTACTGTCGAGTCTGGAGCCGGCAACGACGTAGGTCCTGGCTGTGTGGTCCCACCCAGACATGAGATACTGGCGATGCCCCATGTACAACCTGTTGACGAAGAAACAAAAGTGACGGAGCCTACAAACCAGACCTCCTCCATAGGTTGGTTTATCGTGTATTGGACACGATATCGATACACAGTTACAATCTTAACGTGTATATGATGCTGTATTAGACACGTTACGTGATCCGAACATTGTTCCGGCCGCCGACTCTCCTGGTGATTATGCAGTCCTTGATTCCGATGGAGGGTGTGAGAGGGATTCTATTTACGATGACGACGACGACCTCGGATGGTGTGAGCCTAATCCAGGCGGTGAGGAAGAGAATGAAACACCTGCAGACATTCTTTTTACTCCAGATTTTCTCAATGCCGTCGGTGTTATCAACACTGTTGCACGTGGTGCAGTATCAGACGACGCGTTGGACGCGATACGAGACAGAGGATGGACGGAATCACAGCTCTGTACTCCATACCCGTTCATGGATGAACCTTACGATGTGCGACCTGACGAGTGGATGCGTGAAGACTACTCTGGTATCTACGAAGGTGATCATGGACCTACCGCTGGTGCACCTAACGCAGCGTCTACGGTGCTGGGCGCATTTCTGCGTTTTGTAACACCACAACGTTTGGAACGGATTGCCGGGGAGACCAACGCATACTTTCACGAAACTTTGGATGCTCGTGTGGAAGCGCAGCATGTGAAACAAACTAGTTCGCAAAAAGAAAAAAAAACCGAAGTTCGAAATTCAATCGCCGCAAAAAATCAGGGAGATATTACCGGACGTATCGGGTAGAGAGTTGTGCATCTTTATTGGATTGCTTATTGCGAGAACTATATCTCCTAATAAGGAAAAGTTTGCTCACCACTGGAAGACGACGGACGAGGGAGCCACACCGCGAGGTTGTTTCGGCCAATTCATGAAACGAGATCGCTTTGATCACATTTCGCGCAATCTTCACTTTAGCTGCAACGCCGACCCAAAAGCTACTACAGATCGTGCATGGAAACTTCGTCCGGTGATAGACGTTCTTCAAGATACATTCCAACACAGCTTCATTCCTCCAGCTGCCATGGCGTTTGACGAGGCGAGGCTGCAGTCAATGTCTCCGTTCAACAAAATGCGGTCTTCATGAGAGACAAACCTCATCGCTGGGGGACGAAACTCTTTATGCTGTGCTGTTCTTCGTCGGCTTATTGCATCCGGTAAGTGAGCGTGCTATTGAGGACGCTCGTTTTTTTTTGGCTCTAAAGTTGCCTTATCGTGTATGGACCACGCTAACAAGTATTTGTTATCGTGTATGTACAGCTTCGAGGTATAATGTGGAAAGAAGGCGATGAATGACGGCACAACCCCTCCGGACACCAAGTCAGGTCCAGCTGCGGTTGTTCGGAACCTGCGCCATGTCTTCGGAGCTGCTGGACCGTCGGACTTCCGCCTTATTGTAACGGATCGCTTCTATACGCCGGTGGTGCTGGCCATACAGCTGTTGGTGATGATATGCTACAGTGTGGGGACCGTGATGTCGAACAGGAAAGCTCTCACCAAGACAATTATCCCTTCCAGGCGAGGAAAGAAACCAACAAAGAAGCGACCGGATAATATCGAGAGGGGGACATTTCAGGTTGTGGAGGTGACACAGGTGCCTAGCATCAAGTATGCCTGCTGGTGGGACAACTGGTGTGTTTTCGTCCGGCGGGGGGAGGGGGGGGGTAGCGCCAAACTCGACAGGATTGTACGCCGCGACTCTACTACTGGCGATCAAACCGAAGTCATGTGTCCTCGATTTGTAAAGGACTATCAGTCGTTCATGGGTGGGGTCGACGTCCATGACCAGCTTCGCCTACAAAGGTAAGTTGTCTTATCGTGTACATACACTTAATGGTAATATTGTTAACGGTTATTATCCGGTATGTTATTTTAGGTACTCTCTTCAACTGGCCCGCGCTACAAAAAATACTACAAGTCGCTGTTTCTTGGCCTAATGGATCTTGCTATCATCAACGCCTTCATCATTTACAACGCCCGCCGTGTTACCGAAGGAAAGAGTAAGACACCACACGTTGTCTTCCTCAAGCAACTCCACCTGGAGCTATGCCAACTTCGACCAGATGATTGCGCAACCGAGGGCAGCAGCCTACGCCTACTAAAAGAAACCGTGATCAACCAGCGCATGTATCAATACAGGCGGATGAATGGAGGAAAGGCAACGGAAACGAGACGAGGAAGCGCAGGCAGCGGGCCTGCAAGGTCTGCTCGGTTTTTGAACGTGCTGACCAAGCGCGTGGTGGAGAAACTACATTCTACTGTGTTGTTTGCAAGCTGAAGCCATCTTCAACGCACGCCTTGGCGTCTCGTGTCTTCCTGTGCAACAAAGTGAAGCACACAAATAACGGAGTAGCGACGTCGTGCTTGAAATATGGCACAAACAGTGGAAGACCGGTACCATGATACCGCAGGCGCAGCGGAAGCGCAAACTTCGAGCTCGAAAACCTGCGCGCCATCCACAGGGGGATGACAGCGGAGAAGGAAGCTCTGATGGGCAGTCAGACGGCGAAGAATCTGCAACTGGCAGTACGCCCCAAGCACGGCAGCGAACAGACGACTAGGCAACTGGTGGCTGCAAAGTTTGACGTGAGTTGAATATACTACATTTTTCTGTATTGCTAGCAGATCACCATCTGTACTTGAACTCTAAATTTCGACCAAGGCTTGCACGGATTTCTCATCCTCCGCTTTGTCTTTGGTCATGAGTTGCGCAGGCTTTGCACTTTACGAACACGATTATTGCAATATAGTGTATCATTTGTACACGATAAACATCAAATACACGATAATCACTTTGCTGGTGTGCTAGGGGTAGGGCGTTGCACTGGCTTTGAAAACACACGATACCAAACATATTGATTTCAGTAATGCTCCCCAACACGAAGATAAAATGTATCGTGTATAGGGATTCGGTTAATGAGCGCAGCTGGCAAACTTGGCCGAAATTCACAATGAACAATTGGGGAAACGGCTTGTAATGTTAATGACGCATTGCAGATTTACCATAAACCACGGCCTCAGTGGAACTGAGGCCGTGATTTATGGTAAATCTGAGTCCGTGCTACATGTACACTGTACAAACCATCTAAATCAAGAAAAGAAAAGGTGCGACCGCAGAAAACATGGCGATGACACTGCACCTTAATACTAAATTTTGAACTGTAGTTGTATTGATAATTTGATACTGAAGTATTTGAGTACTTGAAGTAGTTGAAATGTTTTATTACCAATATGTGAACCCGATGTTTTCTTCTGTAGCGAGTAACATCCTGTAGCTCACAGGCTATGACTGATTACGCAGATGCATTACTGTACATGTAGCAAAACAGAGGTTCAAGCATCTGCTTCGATCCGAAGCAGTACACTTAATAAAAAATGGAAATTTCCCTGACTAAACAAAACATGATTACTGGTAGTGGTATCATGCACAACATGGCGTTCTAGCACGTTGTCCCGTAATCTGGGGAAGTTACTGTAGAGAAAAGCATTTTTTTCTTGCAATTTTATTGGAACAAAATTATGAAAATATGCTCACGTCAAAGTAAACCTGCAGAAAATATGTACTTGAAGTAAAAAGAATATCGAATGTAGCGCAGAAAACCAAAAATGTATACAATAATACTGAATTCTCTTGAGGAATTAATCTATTCAAGTAGATTCGGCCCTATTTGTCGCAACGTAAGTAGATTAGACTGAGACAAAATCTACTTACACCTGCAAGTGGTCACATACCTGTTTTTAGACTCGTAAATAAAGTTGGAAAAATGTTTTTTTTTGTTTGGCTCATACCGTGAGGGACGAAGGAGAAGTGAGTCCTTTTGTACTATGGTTTTGAAAAGCCGAAGTAAATTTGCTCAGGTTGCAGTTTTAACGTGGTCAGCGCGCCGTTGCAATTATTATGTTTTTCTATGTTATTTTGAAATGCATCCATTCAATACGGTAAACAAAACAGAGGACCGAATACTTACACCATTCTCCGATCTAAACTGAGAATTTCTCCGATCAAGCGAGAATGGTACAAACTATTTTATTTACCCCCCCCCCCAAACCCGAGGCCTCGGACTTTGGTTCTATTCAACGAGTCAACCAAATATAATTTCCCTGCTTTTTTATACGCCCTTTGCTGCTCCAGCTACATTCTCTATCGTACTTAACCCTCCTAGCCCGGTATCCTGTATTCTACAGATTAAGCATTTTAACAGGACATAATATCCCGCAAAGTTTGATGCACTCGCAACAGCTCTAAGTTTGCACATACACTTTTGTATAGGTGGGGGTTCGTGAAATGATCATAATTGATTTGCGTGAAATAATCATAATTGATTGGCGTGGGATTTTTCCACGGCGATAGGAAGGCACATATAAACCCCGTACAGGTTTGAAAGTTCCCATGTTAGCCGATATTGGGCATTTGTGGGCCATTGCTTCCCTCGTTCATTCGCAAAAGATGAACGGCCCAGGCGAGAAGACATTCAACCAGTTTTGAGCTTCGCAAGGAAGGGTGGAAGCCCCGCCAGCCTATAGATCTCATCCACCACCATCGATACGTGAAACCGGGGATCAAGAGCCGCCTAGATGAATCCAAGGAGGGGGAAGATTTCTTCGTCGGTAAGAGTACGCAGCGGGGTTGTAATAGGATTTGAATCTATGATGTGCCTTATATGACAGAGGATGAGGCGTTAATGGCTTAGGGAGACGTATTGGGCGTCTGCAATTCACTGTGTCTGGCTTAGCAGCAACGGGTCGACCTCCAACAGGCAAGAGCGCGTCATACGCTGCTATCGAGAGCGAATTGCCTTCCTAAAATTCTCCAACGACCTTTGCCGCGGCGTGTGTGCCAAGGCCTTGCAGTCCGATAGAAGAAACATCTCGTACGTCGGTTTCGTCGCATATTCGGGATACTACAGAACAAGAGGATGGAGCGATCACTCCTATTCTGGAGGATACAGAATATACGCGCAGCAACCACGACGATGAAGCCAAGAGCGAGAGCGACGTTCATGAAGCCGCTCTAGCCTCTGTGGAATTCGATGTATTCGACAGTGACGCCGTTTTGGAAGGGATGAGGTTAGAGAAGTTGTTCGGGCCCACAGATGCAGACGATGTAAACATGATGAGCATGGCAGACAGTTGTGACTCTGATTCGGATGCTGACGACGAAGATGTTATGGCAGACAACTAAACTGGACATGACATTCGCGAAGGTGTGGAATACGTAGCTGCCGATGATATGGATGACGCCGACGCTGTTGACTACAAACTGGACATGACGGACGATGAACTGCGCGATATCGCTGAATCGGGATGGACAATATACGTTGAAGAGCATTGCGGTAAGTCTGTCGTATATGATATGTGCTAATTCTGTATAATCCTTCTTTACCCTCGTGCAGGTGACCTACAAGTGCGACCTCCTACTAACTATTATAGCGGCCCCTGGGGTTCCACACGCTCGGCGGTTGCGTACGCAGAGTCTCCGTTGGCCATGATTGTCTATTTTCTTCCGAAGGAACTTTGGATTCGGATTGCGGACGAGACCAATCGATATCGCCAACAAACCATTGGCGCAGTTGCCGCTTTCCGGAGAGCTAAAATGCTGGCGCGACAAGCTCAAGATTCCCGAGTAAGTGTTCCAAGCTTGGAAGACTACGAAGAGAAGCTGGGTAAGTTCAAGCGTATCCAGGCACATGAGCTTGTGCAATGTCATTGGCCTGCTGATTGCTCGAACTCTTGTCCCCATTCGCGACGGTCTCTCGAAGCATTGGTGTACGGATGAAGACGGAGCCATTCCATGAGGCACTTTTTCGCGTTTCATGAAGTGTGATCGATTTGAATCCATTCTGCAGGTCATTCATTTCAACAACAATGAGAACGACGGGGCGCAAGAGGACAAGGCCTGGCAAATCCATCCTGTATTACAAGCTGTCGAGAGGACATTTAGGCGCGGCTATCGGCTTGGGAAGGTGGTATCCTTCGACAAGGGAATGATGCCCAACCGCAGTAAATTCAACCCAATGCGAGTCTACATGCCGGACAAGCCCAGCAAGTACGGAACGAAGTTCTACATGACCTGTTGCGCAGAGACGGCATACTGCTCAAGGTGAGACCAGTTACTCTGTATTTCCCAGAATTACATATTCTGTATGCTACAGAATAACTATCTACGGTATTCTGTTTATCCTACAGAGTTGAGATATACTGTGGTGCGGACAAGAAGAAGGGAAAGAAGAATTCGCCTGATGAAACTCTGGGACTGGGACCAAAGCCGTCGTTCGGAACATCACCAAAGCCCGGGCAGTCAGCGAAGCGGCTCATAGTGACCGACAGCTACTACTCCTCCGTATCGCTGAGCCTGAAGTTGCTGGAAATGGGATTCTACCACGTTGGCACAGCATGGACTGATCGGTTGGGGTGGTGCTCAATGCATTTCACCCAGCAGAAGCGGCCAAAGAAAATTCCGAGGGGGCCGTACCGCATTGCTCAGGCTCGCGACTACCCTGAACTTGTAGCTCTGAGTTGGATGGATTCTAAGCCGGTGAACATGCTTGCGACTGGGTGTAGCACCTATTTGACTAGTGTTCTACGGACGGAGAAGAATGGATCTCGTAGTACAGCTCATGTCCACAACTGGTTGTTGACTGCGGCCTTGGCATGGGAGGTGTCGATGTTCACGATCAACTGAGATTGCAGCGGTACTGTAATGGGCTCACTGTGTGCCCACTACTTCGGCATACACGTTAACGCACGTGTATGAGGAGGCGTAGTTTGCTTAAACTTAGATTATCTACTTAACCCTTTCGCGAAGCATCTGTGTAAACTATACTATACAAATTTAAGTTATTCCCATCTAAAAGTTCGCATTTTTCGCCCTTTGGATAATTAATATAGAAAGTACTTGTCCTCACATCTCTTCAGATGCACGAACGTGCTGCAATCCTACATGTCCAACGTCGCATTTTTCGCCTTTTTAGGTTGCATTTTTATTGGTTGAATTAGTGTCGACTGGTAAAATAGAACGAAAGGGGTCGATGATTGGATAAAAAAATGATTTTGAGCGAAAATTCCGGTCATAGATGTCGTAATAAATCTGTACTTCTCAGGAAAATCTCGTTTCTGAACGGATGCGGTGTCTATGATGATGCTCGAGCTTTCCGTGCCGGCCACGCGCCGACCGTAGTAGCCAATGTCTACGCACACGGGTCGGCGAGGCCCTCGCCTCTGAAGATGCCGCTCTCTGTTCTCTTGGCCGGGTATCACGGCTGACTTGTTCCCGGACCACGGTCATCGGCATCGGTATAGATGATGCAGCAGAGCCGCCAGGAATACGATGAGGCTTCGTTTGAATTGGTCTCTGCGGCGGCACCTGTGGCTACTTCCCAATTGTACGTATTTATTTTAAAAATATATGGTCATATCGATTTTCTTACATTTTTGTCGCCAGTTTGTATTATTTCATAAGCTAATTTCCGCTCAAATCGAATTGTATAAGAATATGCATATGATATATTTGTTATTAATACGAAACCTGCAATCTATAATAACAAATTTCGACCCTCCGTCGCCAAATGAACCCCCACTTCGAAGAAAGCGATGGACGGGGCCAAGAGGCGTCGCGACGGCGCACTGCCGAACAACTCAAGCAAGCGTCGTCGTGTAACTCGCTCCTCCGCTGACGACGCGCTTGTGAGCCGTGCAGGATGGAATGTAAGATTTAACGACGTCTGGACAGCTCTCTTGAAGCAAGGTTGGACGTCCAAGCGGCCTCGGGGTCGAAGCCTGGACCCGCGTTACCAGTATATTCGACCTGGTGGCAACCAAAATGGAGAGGAGGGGAAGGACTTTTTCCTTGGAGAAGCCGCCGTTCTGGACCATGTCATGGGTGGCGCTGGGGTGGACGTTGACGATGGTGTAAATAGTGTACCCGTCGAAGGTGAGCAGGGATCATGCGATACTGCAGATATTTACGTTTAATTACACATTGCTTTGGCTGGTTTGCAGGAACTGCTATGGGTGCTGACGAAAATTTGAGTGGCGGTCGTGCTGGCCCGACTGGAGATGGTATCGTGGACAGCGGTGTCGTGAATGGCGAAGGTGAGCGAGAGTGACATAACACTCACGTCATATGTATCTAACGTTGTGGTGTTGATGCATTTGTTGCAGGTGGCGTCGGTGATACCGCGCATGGTGACCGTGCAGGGACTGTTCGTGGTCGTCCAGACACTGTACTTGTCGGCCGTATCGAAGCCGTTTGTGGTGGTGAAGATGTGAGTGGCTCAAGCGCTATAGCGGCTAGTGTTGGAGGCCACAATAAAGCTGGTGAAGGTGAGCGAGGTTACCGATATGATCTCACTGTTCGTAGATAACGTTGGAATGTTGCAGGTGGAAATGAGAGTTGTAGTGGCGCGGGACCAGCAGGCCGATTCGGTGATGGTCGTGGTCGGCGCTGTGGTCGAGATGCTGCCCAAAGTCGATATGAGCCGTACGGTGGTAGCTGTGTCCATATGTTGCACGGTATGGAATGCAGTCAGTGTGGCGTCTATAGCAGTTCTGATTTTAACCAACGTGAGGACACTGTGCATGTAGAGGGCATGCTGGGAGCAGGAGAAGTTGCATGCGCGGCTAACGCTGGCGCCAGACTTGGTGAAAGACCTGATGTAGATACTAGTGTCCTTGCTCGTGGTGGAGATGCAAATTTTGAGTTGGTCTCTCGGGAAGGCTTTGGTTCTCGTGAAGGTCGTGGTTCTCGTGGAGGTCGTGGTTCTCGTGGAGGCCGTGGTTCTAGTGGAGGCCGTGGCTCTCGTGGCGGTCGTGGCGGTCGTGGTTCTAGTGGCGAGTGTGGTTCTCGTGGCGAGCGTGGTTCTCGTGGCTGGCGTGATTCACGAGGAGGTCGTGGTTCTCGGGGAGGCCGGACTGGGCGTGGCGGTAATACAATCACACATCCTTCTAGTGTCTCAGGTGCTTCCACAGAACCAGGTATGAATAATCTTGCAATGATTGGGGTGTTGGTAAAAGGCTAATCAGGGGGTATATGTTTGTGTTAATGTTGTAGCTGGTGCGACAGATCGAAGTATCAGTGATCTCGTAACACCAGGTGAAGGTGGTGCGGCCAGTGTCGGTTTGGTGAACGCATCGGCGGTGCTGGAGTCCCCTGCGGCGCCACCCTCGGCCGTTAGATTGAACACACCAGCTACTGGGGCAGCAGCGGCTTCCCAAACGACTCCTCGTACAACCCCGGTTTTGCTTCATGAACTGTACGTGGATAAGTTGGTCGCTTTTACACCTGACAAAGAGACGTGGATGAAGGCCAAATCATACAAGCTCATTGGGACGTCATACATCATTGGCCGAGTGTATCGACACGTGAAAAAGGGGAGGAGTGCTAGACTTTTCCAGATACATTGGTTGGACAGCCAATTTCAAAACACAGTCGAAACTGTCGGAGTCGGAATTGTTCAACGTGGAGTGAAAAACTACGTTGCCCTAACACGTGTGCGGAATCCAAATTGGCGTGTGCTGGTAGAACCGGACCCTACGGATGTGATCGACATCGGTGCAGATAATTCTGACCTTGAAGAAGAAGAGATTGGAGCTTTTGATCCTGGTAGCGTTCTCCCATCCAGTCTGGCAGAGGTGGAAGCTATCCGGAACATGCGATTCGTGCCCAGAGAGGACGTGCAGGCACCTTCGTACTTGTACGTGCATGCTGACGGTACAACCAAGACCTACGCCCGCCCTGAGTTTAAGCACATGTTTGAACACTCGGCAAGCTCAAGCTTCTTTGCCTACATACCCATCTATTTCTGGCGCCAAGTGGTACACGAGACCAATAGATATGCCACCGTGAACGACATTCGTATCATCAATCCTTTTACGTTGGACGAGATGATGGTTTTTCTGGGGATTCTATTTTACATGACCACGAACGATAAGGGAGAGTACGCAAACTACTGGGGGCCACAAACGGAAGACCTGATTTTTGGTGGTTCCACAACGTCGTTGGACTCGGTGATTTCCCTCTATCGGCTCAAGTTGCTACGTCGTTGCCTCAGTTTCAATGCAGCACCAACGACGCTAGCAAATGATGCTGCCGCACGAATTAGGCAGTTGCTGAACCTGCTCACAGGAGGCCAATACGTTCATGTTGGTCGCGACGTCGCTTTAGACGAAGCCAGTGTTGCCTGTCGCTCGCGGCAAGGTCGGCACATGATCGTGTACAACCCCACAAAGCCCACTGGTAAATATCACTTTCGGCTGTACATGGTATGCTGCTCTTCAACATGGATAGCATTGAACTATAAGCTTCACTGCAACGGCAGCGACATTCGAGATCGCCTTAGTGGGGTAGTTGGGCAGGAAGAGGCTCAAGAATTGAGAGAAGAATTTGAAAACGTCTCGAAGATTAGGCAGCACGTTTTGGAGGTGACGCGCCCACTATTTGGTACCAATCGAGTCGTGAACATGGACAACTACTATACTTCTGTGCAGCTTTTGCAGGAGCTGCGATTGAAAGGTCTCTATGGAAGGGGAACTATTCGTGCCAATAGCAAGCACTTTCCAGCACATACTATTCTCCATAAAGATGATTGTGTCCGTGGTGACTATCGTCAAGCTGTGGCACGAGACCATAGCATGCTTGCAGTATCCTGGTGTGATGGCAATTTGGTGAATATGGTTTCGAATGCTGATTCGACAGAAGTTACTACTGTATCTCGCCTAATCGGAAGTGAGCGGCGGTCTTTCCCAGCACCAGTATGCGTTGCCCAATACAACACCAATATGCAAGGCGTTGACAGGCTCGATCAAATTAGGGGGCGTTTTTCTACTGCGGATGGGCATTCCTACAAACGGTGGCACAAAAAGCTGGCCTTGGCGCTAATAGATGTGGCAAGATCAAATGCTAATCTTACAAGACGGTTGGTATGGACAGAAGCTTCATCTGCTAGAGATCCTCATCGCAAGTTTATGATGGAGCTTGTTGGAGAATTGTTGAATGGACAATGGAAAGCTGCGCCTACGGATGGCCGAATGCTTTACAATGGGCAGTTCGATGTCGATGATGGCGCGGATCGCGACGCAGCGGTTGATATCCCAACCCCGCAACCCAGAGATGTGAAACCACGTGAAGTAGCGGCTGTATGCACTTCGGTTTCGTCAAGACAAATTTACGCAGACAAGAACAGAAAGCGCCGCCGCTGTATCGTCTGTCGTTGGGAAGGCAGGTACGCCACCGAGGTTACTAACTACTGCTATACTCACGAGGTGTGCTTGTGCCGAGTCTTGCACGATGGACCTGCCAGTCCATGGATGTGCCCAAACACAACTGCTACGTGCTGGGACAAATTCCATAACTTTTATGTGTGCGAGAATTTGTTCACTGACAAAGGCAACGTTCGGCGTCA